CAGGTAAGGGCTGCAGCACCTTTGAGAAGAGGTTACAGTACCCACCCAGCTGTCACAACCCAGCTCCCCTGCTCAGGCACAACACACCGCAAGCCTGTGTTTCCAGGCTGTTCCAAGGTGCTCAGACGTGACCTCCCCACCAGGAAGGGCCATGAGCAACTCCACTGAGGCGCTGGTGACAGAGTCCGTCTTGCTGGGCTTCCCAGAGCTGTGCCACCTACAAGGGCTGCTGCTCGGGTCGTTCCTCACTATCTACACAGTGACTATCCTGAGAACCTGCTCTTCATGGTGACTGTCCGAGCCAGCTGTCAACTACTCACAACCTGTCGGCTCTGGGGACCCTCAACACCTCAGTCACCGTCCCCAGGCTGCTGGCTGACCTTCTGGCGTGAGCCGGGACCATCTCCTCAGGGTGCCTCACCCAAATGTTCTCTTCCTCTCGCCCGGCACCATGGCCTGTGACTGGTACCCGGCCATCTGTCACCCGCTGCACTGCCAGCCGTCACGGGCTCGAGGCTCTGCCTGCACCTGGCCTCTGTGTCCACCTCAGGCTCTGAGGCCCCAGCACGTCTCCTGCGACATCTTGCCCCTCCTGCAGTTCGCACACCACCGCATGGAGGTTCTGGACTTCGGGCAGCCCTGGCTGTGCTCTTGACCTCTTGCTGCTGACCATGGTGTCCTACGCCCACACCCTGGCCACAGAGCTGAGGGTCTCAGGAAGGCCCTCTCCGCCTGTGCCTCCCACCTGGTGGTTGTGACCGTCTCCATGGGCACGCGGCCTCACGCTGCCAGCCCCTCCTACCTCAACAAGCTGGTGTCTGTGGTGTGCTGGGTTGTGACCCCACCACTCAACCCTGCTAATCTCGGCCTGGGAAACACGACACCGGGGGGTCCCTGGCCACACTCCTTGCCCCACCCCCACCCCGCCCCTCCTGAGCAGGAGGGACAACTTCCAAGTCCCTCTCCTCCCATCTGGTCACAACACCAGCCCACCACCAGGCAGTTGGTCAGTTCTCGCCTGTCCCCTTCCATCTCCCCCCAGACGGCGCCAGGCCAGCGAGGGCACAGTGGCCCTGAGAGCATCTGCAGGGACAGCACTAATGGCCTCCAGCCCCCTCACCCGGGAAACATCAGCACCAGAGCCCGGGACAGCTCCTCGGCAGCCGGCCTTCGCGGGACGGTCCCCTCCACCATCACTCCCTGACTGCCTGGAAACTGGCGGGTTTCTGTGGCAGCCAGCCTCTGCCTGCCCGTCCCTGAGCCCAGATGGATGGCCTCCTCAGACCCTGTGACCAACCTCACCAGCCAGACGGCAGACTACGGTCCCTGGAAGTCCAGGCAGCACCGCCAGCCACACGCTCCCACCTCCCCTCCAAACAAGAATGTCATTTCATTTTAAACTTGATGGGCCTCATGACTGGATGGTATGCCACCCCTGGTTTTTCTCCTCCTCTTTCTTCTCTGGCACTTGGGGCAGAAGTTGGGTTAACCCAGCACTCCCTTCCCTCACCCGGGCTGTCGTCGGTTAGGTGAGCGGCACGTGGCATCGTGTTTTCCCAGCCCTAGGCCCGTCGTCATAGCTACCAGCATGATGTGTTCAGTGTGTCTGTGGAGAGACACATACGTTGTCGACAGGTGTGTCATGTTGCTTTGTGTGTGAGGGTTTTAGATTCTCATAAAAGATTTTGCACTGTAAATCTTATTATTTCACTTTATACATTTTGGGGTTAAGTCATTAGGTGCATGAAATTTAGAACTGTTTTATGATCTTTGTAATTTAACCTTTTACCATTAAGAAGTGTTACCCTTTGTTTCCAGTGTGTTTTTTGTCTTCGTCTGTAAGGCTAACTCTGCTTGTCTGACATAATCCAGCTACGTCAACAGTCCTTCTTATTAGTATTTATTTGCATGATAGATACATTGTATCTGCACTGGCTATTAGCTCTGTGATGCTGGGGCTGAAACCCTGCCATCCATGTTTCTGCTTAGCCAGCTGCTACCTGTTTCTGTTGAAAAGTCAGCTGTTGGTCATGTTTTTACTCTTTTTGGGTAACTGGGTTTCCCCTACTTCTGCAAGGTTTTGAGATTCCCTTGTGTTTGGTTTCCAGGGTCCGCTTTCCTTTGCACTTATCATGCTTCGAGCCTGAGATGCTTCCGGGGTTCATAACTTGCTTTGTCTCATCGGTTTTGGAAATCTCCTACCAGTTTCCTTAAACACGGCACCTGCCTGGCTCTGGGCTCTCCTGCTCACAGCCTGTCTGCACGCTCCGCTCTCGGCTTCCTTCTGGGTATTTTCTTCCCTTCATCCAGATTACAAATTCTCTCTGGCCATGTCTAATCTGTGTTTTTAGATGCACTTTTTTAGTTCTAGTGTTTCCATTTGGTTCTTATAGTTTGCCATTCGCTATCAAAGTTCTCGGTCTTGTTTTGTTCCTGTAGACGTGCACATGTCCCTACGACTCTCTCTGTTCCTTGAATGGACTGGATTGTTTTGTTACCGTGGCTTTCTCCAGCACTTTATAGCTGACAGGGTGAGTCCCTCTTTTTTGTTCTTCTTTTTCAAAATTAGTGACATTCGACCCTTATTTTCCATATGGACTTTAGAAAACCTTGGGTTCCGTATTCGTTACTACAGACGGGGTGGCTTATACACCGGAAACTCGTCCAGTCACAGCCAGGAATCTGAGACGAGGTGTGGGCAGCGTGGGCCCCCCGAGGCCTCACTCCCCAACTTGCAGATGTCCTCACATGGTCGTCCTTGTGTGTCTGTGTCCTCATGTCCTCCTCTCAGGAGGACCCCAGTCAGGCTGGAGTAGAGCTGCCTCAGTGGTCTGATTTGACCTTAATCGCCTCTGTGAAGACCCCGTCTCCACACACAGACACATTCTGAGGTGCTGGACTCCAACATGTGAATGGGATGGAGGGGACACAGCTCACCTAAAAAGGGCAACAGTTCCTCTAGAAATTCTGCTGAGATTCCCACTGGATTGGTGACTTTGCTGTGAGGACACCCATCACAGTAGCGGCTGCACTGCCCTTGTTCACCCTTCCATCACCAGATCTCTTACATTCTGTAAGAAACCGCTTGTCTTTTCCACAGAGACCCTTCGCTTGTGGGGGGTGTTTAGAGTGCTGGCTGCCACTGTACATGGCATTTTATTTTATATTTTCTAGCTGCTTCTTGTTCTGATAGAGAAATTTCATTCTATCGAGTCTAAGACACACATGTCACAGAACAGCCAGGCAACAATCGCTTGAACCAACAGGCACAAGAGGTCAGGCAGTTGGCTGAGCAGGGGCTGTGGGGCAGCCTGCGTGTCACTGTCCACACACCCGCCAGCTGTGGTCTTCAGACGGCAGCGGCCACTCTGGCACAAGCCCACAACCCAAACCGGGAAAGGTGACAAACAAGAGTGCCAGCCCGCCTTGAGGGGACAGGGAGCGCTCGCAGGCACCGCATGAACTCGGGGTCTGGCCTCTTGGAGGCATCATTCCCCCCTCGTTTGTGTCCCACTAACACCTGTGAAGCCGCAGTGGGGACAGTGGGGGACACTCCAATTCAGTTCTACTGTCGGTTTTTCTGGGGTTTGAACTCACACTTTTTCAAAAGTTCTTAGTCTCCATTCCTTGTTCACAGCATCCTGTTTTTATAGAAGTATAATGCCTGCCCCAGTCTTTCTGAGTCTATGGGGTATTTTTTTAAATGTTTTTTTCTTAGGATTCCTCAAACCTGTTGATCCATCTTTTTGTGTCGTTACCTTGGCCTTTCTCGGTTGTGTCGCAGCTTTCCCTGAATGTGACGGTGGCTGCTCGGGAGTTCGCTGGGTTTGCCCTTCTAGCTGCGGGCGACCGAAAGCTCACATCGAAGTCAGGTCCAAGGTGTCAGCTCCGGCACTGCCCGATGCAGCAGCTCCAACTGGCCAGGACGCACCCCTTTCCTCTTGGCCCTACCCCGTCTTCTGGCTCTCTCAGCTTCCATGTGGCAGTTCCACAAGTGTCACCGCTCCACACTCAGCCTCATGCCTCCAGAGTCACAGCAAGTAGAGTGGCCTCTGTCCCAGCAGTTCAGGCTGCACTGGGAAGCAGGCCCACCATGGCCGGGGAGAGCACCATGGCATGTCACAGCCCTTTACGGGGCCCGGGGATGGGGCAGTCCCAGCAGACCCTACAGGCCCCGTTCCTGCCCTTCCTTCTCCCGGCCACCCGCCATCACAGCTGCCTGGTTCCTGAGGCCAGGCCACCCTCCTCAGCATCCTCCTGTGTTAACGAGCCGGCGCCCTCCTGCCTCCTAGCCCAGAAAGGATGGAAACTCCTGAGGTCCCTCCTGTCCCCCTGGCTAATTTCTTTACTGTGAGTTCCATGGGTTTCAGAAGAGAGGGGAGCTGGGTGGACCTACAGCCAGCTGACCTGTCTCACTTTCAAATACCAGCTTTTTGCAGCCCCTTACTCGACAGGGGTTTGAAAAACATTGTTGTCCCATCTCACTCAGAAAGGCTGAGTTACAAGGAGCTTCCCCACCAATTCTTAACAGTAGTTATAATCTAAAAGAATGAGCTTGCTTTTTATTCCAGTTTCCTTCTAAATTATCCAAGAAGTTAGAAGGCAAACACATTTATTCACTTATTCATCAAAACTTTGCTGGGCACTCCAGTGTGGCCGCTAGTTTTTGGGAAAGGCGTCACCCAGCAGCCTCTCCCTGCACTCTGGGCCAAGTGCCCTTAGCTGAGAGGGGACCCTGGGCCAGCAGGGCGTCTGGCTGGGAGATGCCACAGGCCCAGGTGGCACATGAAACCAAGAGGAAGTGACATTGCCCAGGAGGGCGTGTGGAGCCACAGCTTTGAGCCTTTGGGGCCATAAGGATGCAATGAGAGCTGAGAGTGACCCTACACACAACCTGTGCCGTTGACAAGGGCTCCACACCCGCTCCCAAGACCATCAGAGGGCCTGGTGTCCCCAGGTGGAGTAGCTGGGGTAAAGGCCTAGTGTCCACGGTGGGGGGACAAGGGCCCAGAGACTACACAAACCGTGGGAGGCCCGGGTCCCACCAGCAGGGACTGGGGAGGCCTGTCGACCTGGGCAGTGGGGTTACAGGCGACCTTGCCTGGGGTGTCCACCTGGAGGCATCTGGAGGTCACTGCAGGCGGGAGGAGGGGCCCACGTCCCCGTCCCCGTCCCCGGGCCTGCTGGGGCTGGGCGCCAAGGAAAGGGCCGCTGGCCTGCCACTGGGGACTCTGTTGGGCCCTGGGCAGCTGTCCTCTGCCCTCTGGGCCTCAGAGTGCAGAGCGCTGGACACCTGGACCTGGAGCTCAGGGTGTCACAGGGCATTCTGTGTCCCTGTGTCTGGGACGCCCACCTGGCGCAGGGACGAAGGTGAGGAACGGGCCGGTGGGGGTGGGAATGGGGTGGAGTGAGGCCGGAGGAAGGGGCCACAGCGCCCGCTGTGGGGAGACGGGCTGGGGGCTGGTGCGGAAGACGCCTTTATCTCCTCCCTCCGGTCTCCCGAGGGAAGAGCCTCCGCGTCTGCCCGCCCCCAATCCTAGGGCGGAGGCCTCGCCCAGGACCCAAGCTCTGCGCTCGGCGCTCGCTCGGCGCGGCGCTCGCTCGGCGGAGGGTCTCCATCTCTGCCACAGCCCGCATCGCGGCGGCAGCCTCTGGAGCGGCCGCTCCGTCCCACGGCTCCGACCGAGGCCCGCGCAAGGTAAGGCCGGGGGCGGGATCCGGACACGGATCGGAGGCTGGGGGTGCCCGGGAGGAGGGTGGGGCCACCGCCCGGATCGCGGTGCCGGAGCAGGCCCTGCGTCTTCCCTGGGCCAGGCGGCCGGGGACGGGGTGGGCACGGGGCGACCGTTCCCTGGGTCCCGGCCTGTGGAGGCGGGGTCTGCAGCATCACCAGCCACGCGTTCTCCACGCCACCCGCAAGGCCCACAAGGCCTGAACCCCGGTTCTGGTTCCGCTCCGGACGCGCGCCGCCCTGAAATCCTTTCTTCAGACCCTATGCGGGTTCTTGGGGGCCCTTGGTCACTGAGACTGCGCCCTCCAAACAACCCCCTCCCCAGTGTGGTCTGTTCCGCAGCAGAGCCCGAAGGCCTGAGTTGGTCCTTCCAGAGCAGCCCAGGGTACGGAGGCCCCTCCCCCAGGCCCCATCTTTGCCTCACCCCACTCCCAGGCACAAAACAATCCCCAGGCGCTGAACCCTTTCATTCCTCCCCAGGCCTGAGTCCCGAATCCTCAGGCATGCAAACCCCTCGGGCCCGCCCTCCAAAACGCGAGGTGCCCTGTGCCCGGGCCCTAAGCCCTATCCCCAGGCACAGCCCGCGGTCCCCAGCCTCTGACCCCAGCTACAGAGCCCCCCGGTCCTCGGAAGCTGAAGCCCTTTCCTCTGTCTTCCCACAGGTTCGGCCCCACGAAGATGAACTGGACGGCCGCAATATGCTGGGCCCTGCTGCTCGCCGCCGCCTTCCTCTGCGACAGCGGCGAGGCCAAGGGTGGTCGTGGAGGGTCTCGGGGCAGCGCCAGGGGAGGTCGTGGGGGCGCGCGCGGGGCCTCCAGGGTGCGCTCGAGGCCGGCGTCCCGCTACACCGGCTCCTCCCTGCGCGTGGCGGCTGCGGGGGCGGCGGCCGGGGCCGTGGCAGGGGCCGCTGCGGGCCTGGCGACAGGCTCGGGCTGGAGGAGGGCCCGGGGGCCCTGGGAGCGCGGCCTGGAGGGCGAGGACGCGGCGCCGGGCCGCAACGGGACTGGCCCTGGCGTCTACAGCTACTGGGCGTGGACTTCGGATGCGGGGCCCGCGTGCGGCCCATGCCTCTGCCTGCTGCTGGGCAGCACCCTGGGCGCCCTGAGGCTGCGGCAGACCTAGGCCTCCAGCCTGCGCCCTCCCCGCAGGCCGCTGCCCATGTTCCCTCCCCAGAGGGGCTGCCTGGCCGATTCCTGCCATCTGAGCAACAGCTGCAGCCTCTCCCCTGTGACCTAGGCACCTCCTGTTCACCATCCTTCCCAAGCTCCTCACCAGCCCCCCCACGCCCGCCGTACGGGGGGGACCAGAGCAGATCACGTAGGTTAGGGTCCTCCCCAGCTGCCCACCCTCGCTCTCCAGAGCCACCCAAAGACAGGTGCCAAAAACAGGCTGTTGAGGCCATTCCGTCTCCCCTGAACCCACCCTGGACACCTGAAGGGTGTGGACAGTGCTGACCACCAGGCACAGAAGCTGCCAGAATGGACCAAAGGAGTTGAGGACTTGGGGGGAAGGTGAGGTCTCACTCCCAGGGTGAGGCTGGAGAACGTCAGGTACTGAGGCCCAGTCCAGAAGCGGAGGCTGTGGGTTTCTGAGCCCAGGCAATGCCCACCATGGTTCTGTGGATGGTCCCCAGGAGAGCACCCTGCCCTTGGGCCCACGGCTGTGTCCCCTCTGTGACCCACTGCCAGGGGCTTCCTTGCACCCACTTTGCTCTGACTTGAAACAAGTCATTTAACTCTTCTTGGGACCTATTTTGAAACATTGTTTAAACTTTACATTTCCTCTGAACTCAGGTTCACACTCCGTAACCAGAGCCCTCACCTGTACACAGGTGGCAATCGTCACTGCCATTCCCGAGCCCTCCCTGACTCAACACGCACCCCCCTCAGGAGGTGGGGGTGTGGAGCAGATGGAGGCGGCTGGGAGCTGAAGTCAGACCCAGGACCTACAGGGCTATAGGCAGGGCCCTGGAGGACGCTGGGGTGGCCTCTGGCACCCAACCTCCCTAAGCAGGAGGCCGGCCCATTTCCCTCAAGCCCCCGGCCTATCTGTGAGCTCAGCTCCAGGGGGCCTGGGCTCTTCCCTGTCCTCCAGCTCCAACAACCCCTTATCCCAAGGCAGGACAGCTTCCAGGCCTGGCTTCTCTGGACCTCACCCCCTTGGTGCTCGGCGGGACCCTCCCAGAGCCTGTGGGACTGTCTCCCGGAATGTGCCCCTGCCCCCTGGACCACGGGGACTCAGCTGCCAACAGCATCACCAGGCCAGCCTCTCCTGGGAACCCTGCCACCTCTGCTTCCCCGTGGGGCTCTGGTGAGGGGTCTCCAGGCTGTCGGCAGAACCCTGGACCAAGCATTTTTCTCCAAAGACCGCCAGCACACTGAGTGAGCTGCACAACGGAGCTCCCGGCAGCCTCCATGTCCACACTGCCAGCATCCTCGGGGCGCCGTGAGTCCACCTCCGTCCATTCCAGACCAGTAAGCCATGGCCCAGCCCTGCCCGGGGCCTCAGCAGCGGTGTGACCGTCCTGCTGCTTTATACGCAGCTGGCAGGGGACTCGGACAGTCTGGCACAGGGAGACCCTCAGGGCAACGCCCCAGGCAAGCTGCTCTCCCTGAGGCTGGGGAGCGTGGGCTCACCGGGGCGACAGGCTGCGGCCAGCCAGATCCTCACAGGCCGTGCGACACCGAGCCGTCAGCCACGGTGGATGCGATGGGACATCGCTCAGAGCTCATGGCACTCCATCTTGGGGAGCGCCTGGCATGGGGTACAGCCTGAGTCTGAATCCTTCCCACCCATGTGCTTAGGGTTCCGGCCGGAGGCAGGTGCTCTGGGTGGGTCCTCAGGAGAGGGCAGTGTGTGGGGCTGTGGGAAGCCACGCAGGTAGCAGGACCTAGAGGGGCGCCTACAGGAAGGAGAGGTCCCGGCGGAGACTGGGGCAGCTGCAGGAAGGCCAAGCCACCCCAACCCCAAACAGCAGAGCTACTGCCAGGGGAAGCTGCCGCCTCCGTCCTTTTCCAGACGCAGGCTGCAGGGCGAGCTGCCCCAGACCCTCAGGTGCCACCACAGCAGTGCCGAGAGGTGCCTCTGGGAACAGTCCCGCTGTCCCATTGGCAAGAAGGTGCTCAGAATCTCCACCGACCACACCCAAGACCTTCCCGGCAGGCATGCAGCTGGCCTGTGAGCAGGGTGGCCTCTATGACGAGGGGACAGGCCAGTCCTGGGTTCTGCCACGGGTATTGTAACCTCCTGTTCATGTCTGTGTGCACGTTAAACAGCGTCGTGAAATAAACACTCCACTGACCACAGCTCTCCTCACTGCAGGGCCCAGGGCACTGTCACAACCTGACTCCACAGCCCTGAATTACTGACCAGTTTGTGCCCTTGTTTTCCTGAGTGACAGGAGCCCTGACACATGGGCCCAAGCTGCTACTGGCACGAAGTGAACAGGCCAACAGCAGGTGGGCCTTTCAATTTTAACTTTAAGTTACAGATTGTAGCTTCACTCCTGGGACAATGACAGTGAGCACCACTGAGCGTCCTCGCGGGCCGGGCACAGAACCATTCAGGGATCCGGCAGCCCTGACGCCCACACCCAGGCCCGTCCCTTGTAAGCAGGAGCCTGAGGGCGCAGCCTTCTTGGCGGAGCAGAGACCTCGGTGAGCTGTGACCAGCCGAGAGCCCGGACCTGAAGGCCTAGGATGCTACCCGTCTCTGGGGGGAGGGCGCTCGCCGGCTGGACCAGCTCAGGAGTCCAGGGGGCTCTGCAGTCCATCCCGGTCCAGCATCACGGGGCCCAGCAGCCCACGGCGGAAGGTCCGGAGGAAGTCGTGGGCTGCCGCGGAGTAGTCGGGCTGGACGACGGTCACGTTACCTGGGGAAGACGGGCAGCCATGTGAGGAAGCAGCCTCCGCACAGCGGGCCCAGGACCCCCATCCGCCCTCGGGGGCCCTGCGGAGGGTACCTGGAGCTCAGGCAGCGGGGCCGACTGGGAAAGAAAACTGCGAGGCGGGTCACCTGGGCGGCAGGGAGGCTGGGCAACAGCCCCTCCCTCTCCAGAACCTTCGCTAGGGAGTCCCCACAACGTCCCCCCAGCCAGGTCTGCTCGATGGGCTGGGCCCCTAAACCTGGCCAGGTGAGGCCCCGCGTCTCACCTGTGCCTGTGAGGACTTTGACCTTCTGTGCCTTGCCCAGTCGCACGGCCACGCGCTTCAGCACGGTCACCACGTCATCACAGGCCCCATCCAGGCCGTAGTGCTGCACGTACCTGCACGAGCCACCGTCAGCCGGAGGGAGCAAAAGCCAGCCTGCGTGGTCACTCCCAGCTCCACAGTGACCCCTCAGAGGTGTGAGTGGCCGTGGTGTGGGTGGGGGCCTGAGCCTCCTGAGGGCCCACCAGAGTTGCTGACACCTGTCCCACCACCCTAAGGCCAGCTCCTCACTGGTGCCCTTGGCTGCAAAACAGCTGCTGTTCATGGGCGTCGCCCATCCCACCACTTGGCAGCGGGGCCTGGGGCCCGAGGCCAGCACGTCGGCCACTGTCAGACACGCTCAGGGCTGCGAGCAGACACACAGGTCAGTCCAGCTGGGGTCCCCTGCGTCTCTCCAGCCGCCTGGAGAATGGACTGGTTGGTCTGACCAGCGTGTCCTGTAGCCCACAGTACATGGCTGGCTCGGTGCCCACCACACAAGGAGTGCCCGGCGACTCTCACGGACGCCCCGCCCCACACGACATGGGATCTGGGACTGACGGGAAAGGCAGCACAGGGCCAGGCAAGGCACAGCTGCCACGGTGGCTGAAGGGGACAAACACCCCCACGGACAGAACCCCAGGAGCCGCGAGACACCTGGACTGACAGCACCCCACTGGGCAACACAGCAAGTTGGTTGCTTCTCCCGGAACCCCAATGAGCAGAGGGAGTGGTGGGACCAGCCTGGTGGCCACAGAGGGTGAGGCTCAGCCGGGAGGAAGCCGGCTGCTCGGACTGGACGCATCCAGCCAACGAGGACACGGGCCCAGACTCCGCCAACTGGATCCTATGAAATGCAGCTCCTAAATCAAGCTTTGGAGAGCAGCAGCCCCACGGCCTCTCTGTCCCAACAATTGCAAGAACCTGTCCCAGGAGACAACAGGCCCGGGGAGGGCCCCACACACACACCTGAGACCTGCCACCTGCAGGAGCTCAGCTGTGACGTTTTCCAGAAACGTGGCAGAACTACAATGGTCCAAACTGCCTTCAATGGAAAAAAAGCAAAAAAATTACATTTGAAATCCCCTTCCACGCAAATAGAGTCACAGGGACTGGAATGACCCCATCTGAAACTGCCACAAACACACAAAACAATGGTTTTTGAGCCACCAGACATCAGCCCACAAAGAATGTAAGCAGGCCCTCAACGGCCCAGTTTGGCACCATGAGACCCCACAGGGCCTGAGGACAAGACGTGTTGGGAGACCAAGGCAGCTAAAGGTCACAGCCAGAAAGAGAATCCAGAAGTCTGCAGAAAGCCGCCCAAAACATTCAGCGGAGGAACTCGCACACAGAGAAAGGACGCTCCCCATGCTGGAGGGCAGGGGGACAGTAGCCAGCGTTGACTCAGAGCCAAGGACAGATGGGGACCCGTGACCCATGGGTGCTGTGGCGGGGACAGGCCTGCCTCAGTGGGGGCACCACTCTGGACCCATGGGCCTGAAAGGACCACACTGCTTCCAAACAAGTGTCCCAGAACAAAGTACAGGGAGTTTTACAAGAATACACGGACACCTGTCACCCAAAAAGGTAACATTCAAAACAGCTACCATCCAAGCAGAAGTTCTTGGCACGCACAGCAGGAAGACAGGTCCATCAGGCTGCCCAGCCGTCAGGACCAGCAGACAAAGATCTTAGACTGGTTATTTTGACCACATTCCACGTGGCTACACAGTGGAGACATGAAGATGTAAAATGACCCACTCCGGACTTGCAGAGGTGAATACTGGACGCACCGGAGGGGCTGCCGCCACGAAGGCCGACCCCACAGAGGACCCAGCACCGCTGCCAGCACGCGGGAACCGCAGTCCCGAGGCAACAAGAGAGGAGGCAGAAACACTCAGGAAAAAATAATGGTTGGAAATTATGCATACCTGATGAAAACTACAAAGCCACAGACAGATCCAAGAACTCAACGCAATGTAAACACAAGAAACATGACAAAAACGCAGCAGGACCCAGCGTCATAACCGCTGAGAAGTGTGATCAAGAGGAAATCTTAGCTGCAGCAGGAGGAACATTCTCCACAGAACAGACGATCGGAGCGCTGTGCAGAGGGCGGGCAGCACCTGTCCTGTCCGGGACTGAGAAATCTGTCCCTCTATTACCACGCACAGGGCAAAAACCAGAAAGGGACAAAGACAACCCAACCACCAAAATCAGAAAGCTTTCGTCACCTGCATTCCAATCACTGTTAGAGGAAATCCTCAGACAGAGCAAAACACCACCAGATGTAAACACCAGGAAAACCACCGGATGGGCAAACAGCTAATTTATTTCTTATACTTTAAATCTCTGTATAGACAAAAACAGCGACAGTGTATCTGGGGTTTGTAAAATATGCAAAAGACACATGACAACAACGGCCCAAAGCTCAGGATGAAAACTGACTCTGCACTCTCGTGAGGCGCTTACACTAGATGCAACGTGTTATAATGTCCCTTAACGAGGGTCTGAAAAGCACAAGGCTCCTCCTCCCAAAGTTACAGCTAATAAACTAATAAAGGGGACAAGGTGGAATCATAAAAAGTGTCTAATCAATCTAAAAAATGGCCAAAGAGAGAGACAGACGGAGACACAGACAGGGTGAGAGAGACACAAGGGGTTTAACAGCAAGAAGTGCAAAGACAGAGGCCTGCCACATTCACTCTGAGCAAAGCTAGAGCGGCTACGTTGCGGTCGGACAAGCAGAGATCAGAACACAGAGCATTCTGAAGGCTAGAAGGTCACACCCAGTGACGGGGGCACCTCATCGTCTCAAGGACGTCACCACGTGGCTGTGTCTGTCCCTAACAACGGAGCTTCGAAACACACGAAGCAAAAACTGACAGAACTGTGAGGGAAACAAACGAGTTACAGGTAGAAATTTCAGTGCCCTTCTTGCAACAATGACGTGAAAACAGAGCGCCAGCAAAGGAGAAGGCAGGACACAATAAACAGCAACCCATGAAATAAAAAACAGAACAGAGTCGGCGAACCCAAAGCCGGTTCTTTAGGGGAAAGCTAAAACCTGATGAGCCTCTAGCGAGGCGGATGGCCTTGATGTGACAGAGGACACCTGTGAGGAACCCACAACTCCATGCTGCCTGGCCATGACCAGGCATGACCGACCGACATGCGACAACACGGGAGTCTGAAACTGCAGTGCTGAGCGAGGACACGCGGTGACCCCACTCCTAGGAGTTCTAGCGGAGGACAGAAGGCAGGTGGTTGTCGGGGTGCGAGGTGGGCAGGAAGGAGTAGCGGGGGCTACAAAGCAGCACAAGAAATCTGGGGCTTTCGGGACCGTATGGGCTTCACAGATGTGCCCGTGTGTCACGTGTCCACCTACACGCTAAGTGACAAGTGCTGTCACTGTCGTCTGTGACATCCTGCTCTTCATTTAGGGGCCGCCACCCGCACCCAAACTCACCCAAAGAGCCGCTGCCTGTTGAGGGTGTAGAGAAGGTAGTCAGCCAGGCTCTCCGCTCCCACCAGGTGGTCCAGCACAGTCCCTGGAAGCGGGCAGCCGATGGTGAGGGCACCGTCTCAGCCCCAGGCCTGTCCCCTGAGGGCACACGGCCAGAGCGTGCTCATGCACCGCCACCCAAGACACCCGTCCCCCGGCTTTGTGGTCTGGGGCCCACAGGGCAGCTCCACTCACCACACAGGGCCAGCTTCAGGCCCGTCTCCACGCTTTCGATCCGGGGGGGCAGCACCCCAGGGGTGTCCAGCAGGAACACCAGCGGCCGCTCAGACACCTGTGGGCAGAGGGCAGTCATCCGGCCGCTCAGGAAGCCTCGAGCAGGGCCTCCGAGTGGGTGTTCTTATCACTCAGCAACCGGCTTCCCCACAGGACTCAGCTCCACTTCACTTGGAGAATAAACGAAAGCAACAGCCCCACAGCCTCGTCTTCTGCCAGGAGGAGTGAGTGTGTGGGGGAAGCCGCGCTGTGGTGGAGGGCATGGGCTCAGCCTGCTCGGCCCTGAACACATGCCTCAGTTTCCTCATCTGTAAACGGGGATCGGCGTGCCCCCCACAGGGTTGGCATAAGGACTGGTGCAGTGCCGGGCACCTGGCGAGTGCTCTGGGAACGCGGAGTGAGGGGAGGGACGCACGGACAGAGACAGCACCCCCAGCCCACCAGCCCACAGGAAGGGCCAGCCAGGCGTCTGTGTGTGCGGAGCTCTGGGCCCCTACCTGAACTCTGGACATCACAGCTCTCGTGATCCCAGGCTCGCCACCCACCCTGGTGGCTTTTCCTGCAGGAAAAAAGGGGCCGTCAGGGGCTGGCTGAGTGGCGCGATGGTTAAGAACTGGCTTGGGACGCCAGAGGGCCCCGGTTTGGATCCCACATATGAGGGCCAGTGACACTGCCCTCTACAGCTAAGATGCTGAACAACAGCTCAACCTGGAGCTGGGCTGCTGTGAGTTCTGGCGACAGCGTAGGCTACAGCCCCTGCTGCAGTGGGTTGCCATGGGCTACCGTGTGTAGCCAGCAGCCAGCGTGAGCGGCCAGCAGCCACTCTGAGCAGCTGTCCAGAAGCCAGCGACTGATCTGCCTCGCCCGGGAAAAGCACAATGATAATACCAACACGGGCCAGTGAAGCAATTAGACTGAAGAACAAAAGGACAGCAACTTGTCTGTTTCCCATCCCCCAATTCCCCAATAAAAATCTTTAAAAAAAAAAGGGGGGGGGGCGGGCTGTCAGATACACTGAAACACACAGGCCTGGCAGACAAGGCACAGGGAGATCCGCGAGCTCCGATGAGCTGGCGTTCGGTGTTCAGCGCACACCAGCTCTCAGCAATGCTGTTCAAGCCAGGTTCTGCAACGTGCCTCGCAATGCCTGGACAGGTGCTCCGAGAGCTGGTGAGCGACCCATGGGAAGTGCCTGACGGTGAAGGCCAGGGCACAGCTGCTCCTCCAGCAGTCGCCTCCCTCCCCGCTACTCCTGACTCATACATAGCCCCGAAGCCTGCAGCCAGGGCACCGCCCACTGCAGGCCTGTCTCTGGGGCTGAACTGGACACTGGCAGCCCTGGGGCCCAGCTCAGGGGGTGTCCCCAGCTGACTGTGCACCCTCTGCCTAATCAGCTGCAGCAGGAGGAGACACGTGTGGGCTATGCACACACTGCAGCACTATCCAGCCTGCAAAGGGACGGGCGCCTGACGCCTGCTGCAGCGTGGATGGGCCTGGAGGACGTGTGTGCGGCCATCAGCCAGTCACAGGCCAGGTCACGTGACGTCCCACATCCTCACAGATCCAGAGAGAGTAGATTCGAGGTTCCCAGGGCTGGTGGGGTTAGACTCTGTTTGCGGTGTCTGGAAATAGTATGATGGTTGCACAACTTGATGCCACTGATTTTAAGCCACAATTAAAGAAAAGGAAACTTTCAAGAGCAGAGGAGTAACCACGTCCGTGAGCCAGAAACGCCGGCCACAGTAATGGCTCAGCGCAGCCCAGTGCCAGACGGTGTGCTCACAGAGAACACGGGCACGCGGGAAGTGGAGCCTACAAGGCCTTGGCTCTGAACTTGAAACACTTCAGGAAAAAGGCGAGGGCACAGTGAGAGGCCGCAGACGCTCTTGTGTGCCTCAAAATCAGAGAACCATGAAGCCAGGAGACGGTGGGGCTCCCAGGGTGACCTAGGCAGGCTGTGACAACAGCAGCAGTGGCCCAGGGCCTGACACCAGACCCACTGGCTGCACAGCGCTTTAGCTACAATTGATCAAAGGACTTAAATAAAGGAAGAGACAAAATCACCAAAGTTTGGCAAAGTCATCCACATACTAAACATTTTACACATTTAACATGTGAGAGAGAACAAATTAAGTACAAAACACAATGGATAGCTGCCTCACCATTAACCGTACACAGGCTGTTACCCCCAACAGTCCCACAAGGGTCTCTTTGGTGGGAAGACACAAACCCAAGGACAGGGGTGGCTGGCAGTACCTTTCCTGAGGTGTTGTCTCCTGAGCGAGTTGATGAGTGAGGACTTGCCCACGTTGGGGACCCCGATGACCATGATGCAGTGCTCCACATTCTGCAGGCAGGACAGCAGGGAGTCGGCCAGGCCCCCGTTCGGCCCACCACCCTGCCGCCCTCCCTGCAGCAAGGCTCGTGACCGCGCGAGGGCCCAACCATTCCCGGGTCAGCCACAGCCCACCGTGGGACGGGCGCACCTGTGCTTAGCAGATGAGCCCAGGCTCCTTGGCAGGAGGCACTGGGCTCCACCAACCAACCTCTCCTCGGTGATAGCGGCAGCTGCTCCTGACCAATTCTGTGACGGCTGGGATGACCTGGACAAAACACACAGGCACTGCACGTGGGCACCAACCCCTTCATTAGCTTCTAGACGTGGTGGGCTCCAGTGCCCAGCGTCAGGAGACCAGGGTTGCGTCCACGTCACACTAAGGTGGGAGTCACCTGTGCCCTGTCCTGTCCCTCTACCATGAAAGGGAAAGGCAGCCGTCCCAGGAGGGTAACACCTATGACTAGAACCACCTTCTAACAGATGCATGTCAGCCAGTGAAACCTCCAAATACAACTGGGAAAAAGACGGTTCCAGACTCTGCCAAGGCCTTTCCTACTTGTAACCCCGGGATGTAACGTGCAGCCCGACTCTGCTCTTTCAAGCCCCCACAGATGGTCCAGGCCCATCTGCTCTCAGCACCAGGACATGAGTATGCCCCAGGAGCCCCAGCAAATCCATCTCAAAACTCCGCTTCTTAAGAAAGCATACGATATTTCACAGTGTTTCTTGAATATATTTAAGCAGAAGCATTAAAGTATAAAACAAAGAAAAGCCTACCTGCTTGACATTTTCATCTTTTACACAGTTGGTAAAAATGACATTTTTTAGGCCTTCTCTTTCTAAGTGCTGTAGAATTTTCTGAAAGAGATGAGACATCCCCATTTTAAATTCTAGTAGGAACGCAGGCGTGCGATACGCCACAATCCGAGGGTCTGGCATTGCCGGCCCCGCTCCCCAGGCCTGCTCTGGGCTCAGAGCCACTGCGGCCGGGCGCTCAGGGAGAAGCAGGCACAAGGGCAGACACGGGCATAGGCGGCAGGCGCAACAGGGAGGAGTGCTCAGCACGCTGCCTGCCCCCCAGCCTCCACTCCAGTCCCATCTTGTAATACGAGGCTCAGCTAGGTTATGCTGAAGCCACACCCAGCACTGAAGCCTTATGGTTTGGGTCTTCATTGAGGATTCTCACGGCCCCTCTGTATTCTGACGAGCTTTGACAAACGAAGTCCACTTTGAGGTCTGAACCCAATTTCATCACAAAGTATTCCTAATACTTTAGAAGCCCCCAAAATAATCTATGGTTAACGTGAGTTTACTGGTCTTAACATTCAGTGAATCAGCATATGAATCGTATTTTTTAAACCAGTATTATACTGTTTGATCAGCTACTGACCTAAAAGTACTACTGATGCTTAAATGAACAAGAAAGGCCTATTAATTCAGTTCATTTTAGTTGTGTGTATATTCGTAATGATGTAGATTAAGATACAGGCCAACGGGTGGCCGGCTAGCTCAGCTGGTTAGAGCGTGATGCTGATAACAGCAAGGTTGCCAGTTCGATCCCCGCATGGGCCACTGTGAGCTGCGCCCTGCTTAAAAAAAAAATAAAAAAGATACAGGCCAAAACAAAGACGTATATTTTTGAAGCCACACTCTGAAATGTATAAATTCACTCGATATGTCCCCATCCACTGCATGGGGGGCCACCACTGGGGGCTTCTCTCCTCTCCAAACCCCCAGCTGCAGCAGCACATGACAGAAGGAACCAGCAGTCCTGCTAACTCCCAACCAGGCGGGACACGGTGGGTCCCTGTCAGGTGACCTCGGTGCACCCAGGACTCTATAAAAAAGCATTTAACAAACACTGAGAAGAGCCAGTCTCAACTAACAAAGCAACTGAAAGCCTGTGATGATGACAAGGACACTGCAAATGCAGTGCACCTGGACCATTTCCCAGCAGGGGGGGACCTCGATGGTGGACGTGGGAGCACATGGGAGCGTGCAGTGGGGCAGGCAGCAGGGCCGGGAGGCCCTGTGCTTGGCGTCTCCATGAACACAGCCCAGCTTGAATGTCTCCCTGGAAACCCACAGGGGCTTCGATTATCTCAAATGCACCATGGTTGACTAAAGTACCTCAAACGCTTTCTTGCTGCTGCAGTAAAAGGAAAAACTACACCACTGACAACTCGAAAAAAATTTGAAATTCAAAGGATTCTGACACCTATTCCTTGCAAAGAATGTGACAACAGAGCAAGAAAAGCAGACACATACTCCACGGGCCACATTCCAGAGTGTTCATGTTGCTTTCACCTCTGGACACAAGGGAATATCCTGCACTTGGTGACTGTGTCCCCGATCCTGCCTGGTGCTGGCTGGAGAGCTGGCTGGAGACACCGTTAGCTACTCTGGGCCTCCCCCAACCTCCCAGGTCGCACCAAAGGCTGCCAGCAGGCCAGGCGGGGTTCTGGGGGGCCGTGGAGCTGGTTGAGTATGGACACCTGGGGAATGCAGCCATCACAGGGGAACCCAGGCCAGCGGCCACCAGCCTCATGCAGTGACTGAAACATAATTGAAATTAAATTAAATGTGGAAGTGTGTTCCACAGCAGCAGCCGCCAGGGGCCAGCGGCCACGTCCCATAGGAGACGCACACTCAGGATCTGGACCGTAAACCAGGCATCCAAGGGGAGCACGCCGAACACACGGGGGTGCTGCAGCAAGCCTGGCCCGGCGTGTCCACGCACGTCTGCGGCAGCTCGTCCTGGACATGGCGCCCGGTGCAGCAGGCATGCGTCAGGCGGCCTTTACCTGCCGCTGGCTCAGGTCCGCCAGGTCCATCTTGTTGAGCACGAGCAAGTGCGGCTTAATCCCCAGGGTCTCCCGGAACAGAGGGTTGCGGCCTGAAAGTGGGATGTGGCAAAATTAAGGCCAAAATTCCTTCAGTGCTTTGCCAGCCAACTGACTTACTGTCTTGTCACCCGACTGGCACCACCTTTGGGAGGAACTGACGCAGCTGAGAGCGCAGCCTCGCAGTCCTAGAGCTGGGAAGCCCGAGCTGCCCGCCCATGAGAGAGGGTGTCCTTCCTCCTCCCGGCCACGGCCACGCTGCTACCCCAGGCTGCTTCTCGGACAACAGGCGGCCAGGCAGGGCAGTGGCTTTCAGGAGGCTCCCAAACAAGAATGACGGTGACAAAAACAACAAAGCTCAGTGGAAGGTTTCATAACTAAACCCTTGATTAGTTGCCAAGGTATGTAAGTTCAAAATAAATGATCACTCTCCACTGAGCTGCCAACAGGTGGCAGGATGGCTCAGCTTAAAAATAAATACATAAATAAACAAATAAATAAATAATCACTCAAAAAATTGCCACCTAACTAGTGTGTTTCAAACCACCACTGCCACATCTGGTCACCAACAAGGAGACGGTCCCTGAAGGTCCCCCCTCCTTGCTACCATCACCAGGCCCCTGCTCCCCTCAGCCAGGGACCCACCTCGGGTGACACTGACAGACAGGAGGGGAGGTCTTCATCTCCGCGTGCTCGGCCCCCCTGGTGCTTCATCTCGCACAGAGGCCAGCCCACCCAGGTCTAGGCCCCTGTTAGTCACTGTGTCCTCACCCACACAAGAAAGGGACACCCGTCCCCCAGGCTAGCCAGTCCTGTGCTAATTCAGAACACCAAAGCCTCCAGACCCCGTCACAGGCCCGCTATCCGGCGCTAGGGCTTCTTGCCACGTCCTGACTAGGAAAGATGCCTTCTCATCACCGTACACTGAATAACCACAGGCTTTTATTACTGTTTAATCATCAGATGTACAATCGCCATTAAACACTTCTGACCAGCATGGGACACTGTATGAACTGACATATTTACCTACAGTGAAGACACTGGGTACTTTATTCCCTTTTTTTTTTTTTTAGCCAAGCCATCCTGCCACCTGTTGGCAGCTCAGCTCGGGCCAGGAATCGAACCGCTGTTGCTCAGAGCTTGCACTTTTGAGTGAGCTTTTAACTAACTGAGCCACTCGGCCGGCCCCCAAGACACTCGGTACTTTAATACAGAAGTTCCCATAAGCCTTTGAAATTGTGAAATGGTCCCTCATCCTCTAACCTAGAGGTGGTAACTCTCCAACGCTCCTCATAAAAGGAGACTCTAAACATAGTTCAAATACGACGAAAACAGGGTCTAGAAACTAGTCACTGGTGACCAAGATCAGCACACCATGCTGATTCAGGCACAGGTGGGGGGCCCGGGTCAGTTCACATCCCACCAGAGAATCCTGCTGCTGGGCTGCGCTTGGGCGCAGGCAGAGGTCTGGGGCCAGTGATGTTCCCTGTGTAGGGGGGTGGGGGGCAGCTCCACCAGATTCTGATTAACTGGTCTGGAAAGGGGCCCAGACCAGTCATTTTAATTGTAAATTCTAATGTGTAATGACGGATAAGAACCATTGCTTTAAGTGCCAATAACTACGACAAGGGAGGCTGCTGGCCACTGTGGTGGCCGACTGGACCAGAGCAGGGGCCAGGCAGAGGAGACAGATGGGAACAAGGTAGCATGCCAGGAGCCTTCCTGCTGCCTCCAGCACTGACTCAGGCACCACTGCATTCCAAAGGTGGGGCTCCCCACCCCACAAGCAGCTCTGACAGCAGCTGGGCTCCTTCCCTTCAACTCAATCTGACACTTTCTCCCTGGCGATGGCATCAGACCCCTCAGGCCCACAAGACTGTCCCACCCGCGTTTCTGACCCGCCAGCTACAGGTCCGAGGTTCCCACCACCCCCGCCTCGGGCCAGATTCATTTGCCAGAGCTGCTCCCAGAACCCAGAGAAATGTTTTACTCACTAGATCTCGGGTTTATCACTAAGGGTCTAACTCAGGAGCAGCCAGACAGAGAGACGTACAGAGCAAGGTCTGGGGGAGGGGAACAGGGTCTGCCGTGCCCTCTCCGGGCGTGGGGCACCGCTCTCCCCACCTCTGCACGTGTGCACCAACCGGAAGATGCCGGAACGGAACCGTCCCCCGGGATTCACGGAGGCCTCACTGCGTGGCCTGACTGACTAAATCACTAGCTGTTGGTGACTGAACCCAACCCCAGGCCCTCTCCCCTCCTGGAGGTCAGGGGTGCGGCTGAAAGTTCCAACCCTCCCTTATCAGGCTGGCTCCCCTGGCACCAGCCCCATCCTGAGGGGTTTTCCAAAAGCCAACTCATTAACATGACAAAAGACACCTTTGTTGCTCTTATCACTTAGGAGATTCAAGGGGTTTTAGAAATTCTGTTCCAGGAGCAGGGACAAAGGCCAAATACACATTTCCTATTATAAATTCCAGTATCACAACCACCAAAGGATATCCGGGCATCATGGACCTCCACGATGCAGTCCACCAGCTTTAGGCTGCTCTGCATCTTCTTCAGCCCTGGAAAACAGAAGGACGCCTAAGGCAGGGGGTCCACCGCCGGAGAGGAAGGGATTGAAGCAGAACTGTCAAGAATGGAGCACCACAAACAACGTAAAGGGACACACCTGAGTGAAGTGCTGTAAGGTTAACTGCTAACCCCTTGCTGGGAGCCCCTTCAAGTTCAACACGAGTGGCTCGGGAGTAACATCTGGCCCCCGTGGGAGGCCAGGTCCTGTCTCCGCCACCTGACACTTGGGCGACTCTGGGTGGGGTATTTAAGCTCTCGGGGCCTTGGTCTGGGCTATGAAGTTGACAGTGTCACCTAACCAGCTCACTGGGCCTGGATACTGTGCGGAGACGCTGCCGTGGGAGAGGCGACCTCAGCCACGCACCCTGGACCTCCCCCTCACAGCACCCAGCTCCCCCCTAACCAGGAACAGCCCGGGGCAACGGCGACACCACCGCTCGGCCTCCACGCACATCCTCCAGCATCGGCCATCGCCCCGCTCCTTCCCACCCGCAACGCCGCCCACGGGCGCCGGGCAGAGCGGGCGCCGGGCCACCGTTTCTTGGGCGAATCGGGGCGCGGGGTGCAGTGAGGCGGCTGGAGCAGGGCCGTGGCCGCCCGCGGCACGAGAGGGGCTGGGCTGGTCCTGGGTGTCTTCATTCCGCCAGATTTTGACAAACAGTAAAAACTCCCAGCGAGGTTCAGGCAGAAGACAAAAACGACTGTTTTAAAGGTGTTGCAATAATAGCTGAACACAACTTGGAAAGAGCTTTCCTAACCCTTTTCCTTTAGTCCTCAAATTAATATCCAGGAAATTACTTTTTTAATAAGACAGATGTGGAAAGTGAGGCTTCGGGGAATACAGTGGCAGAAGGGCCTTGCTGGGAGTCAGGGATGAGGTCAGCCGCGGGACTCCCGACCCGCTGGCGGGCGCCCAGGACGCCGGGCACTCGGGCGCCGGAACTCACCTTTGGCCATGTGGCCCGGGAACCAACGCGCCACGTCGCGGCCGTCCAGAGAGAAGCTCTCCCGCCAGGCGGCCCGGGCGGCGCTACACAGCGCGCGCGGAGTCAGCCTCATGGCGCCGCGTCCCCGAGCGCTGCGCAACGCGGGACCGCTACGTTGACGGACCTCTCCGCCCGGCCAGGGACCGGGCTCGAGGGTTCCGGCGCTCTAACAGTCCGCGGCGCGGCCCGCGCGTGCGCACGACGCTGCTTCAAGCGGTAGCCAGAGCCCAGGGGGCGGGGCCCGGGTTGGGGCGGGGCTACAAGTCCTCGGTCCCCAGGTTCTCAGGGTTCCTGAGTTTATAGGGTTTTTAAAGAAATTCATAGGTATATTAACATTAATTAAATTTAAAAATCCTAGTTCTTCCTTAAGTGTATCCTGAGTATAAGCGTAACAAAATTTAGCAGTCCCCTGTTTGAAACTTCGCAAAAAAAACTTTCAAAAATTCACCTTAAATAATACTGGGTGACTGAGTGGCTCAGTTGGTTAAGAGCTCGCTCAAGAGTTTGAGCTCTGAGCAACAGCGGTTCGATTCCTGGCCTGAGCTGAGCAGCCGCTGAGCTGCCAACAGGTGGCAGGATGACTCAGCTAAAAAACAAATAAATTTTTTTTAAAAATTAAAAGGAAAAAAAATAATAATATATATATACATATATATATGTATATATATATATATAACTTACCTTCCTGTTCTTTTTCAAGTACTCCGGGTTTTCACGTAACAAACAAACCCTTTGCAAATGCTGACTGCAGTTCTGCTCAATTAAACCTGTTAATATAATGAGCCTGAAATTCTCCTCAAGGTCCAATACTCTATGTAAATATAGTCAGGAGCCTAAGTAACTACTCAACTGCATATTGCGTTACAAGAGTATGACTCTAATGGAATTTCTGAAGCAAGCTTCTAAAATTCCAAACATGCTCAGATTCTCAGCACAAAAATATCATTACTCTGGTCTTGATGGTATTAAACCTCCTCACACACAGCACTAAACATTCTTGGGGTTGAGAGACAGGTGCCCCCCACCGGAGACCAGCCCTGCCAGGTGGCTTCCTGGCTGAGTGACATCAGCCTCCTGATAAGTCAGATGCCCTGTGAGAACCCAGCCCCCAGCCCCTCCTCACTGAGGCATCCTCCTGCCCACAAAGCAGCTGGGTCCTGCCTTTGTCTCCTTGAATGGGGAAATGTCTCCCAAAGATGCGTGGCTTGATGGAACCCTGGATGTAAACAGTACAAACCTTTGCATCTGATGGAAGCTGCATTCTTTCTTAGCCCTAGGACCATAAAACCAAAATAAAGCCCTGTTGAATTCTGGATTTCTCTCACAGCTATCTGGCTGGCAGGTGTGCAAGCAAAACCACTCTGGGGACACGAAGTAGTGGGCACACATACAGAACTCGGGGCAGGGGGCAGGGAAGACACTTAGAGGAGCAGTTTGACCCAAGACAGGAGGATAAGGTGCCATGCCAATACGCCCACCCCACCACACTCCAAACGTTCACCCAACACACTCACTCCAACACCGGCCAGCACACGCTCCCCATGTTCACCCCACACCCACCCACATACCACCTGTGGCGCTCACCCTGACACGCCCAGCTGCCCTGTCCATCTGCACTGTTGTAGTCTCACTATTGCTCACATCCTCCAGGAAACCTCAGGCCCCGTTCAGGACGCGGTGCCCCTGTGCACCCATCTCTCCACTTGCTGGCCCTCATGCGGCCCACCACAAAATGGGGAGGTCCCCTGGCTATGCTGTAGCCCTAGCCACCAGCAATGAGAACTCAGGAACATGTGAAATGCCCAGGACGAGGGGCAACCACAACACCCAGAGACCAGGGGACCTAGGGGAGGCGGGCCACCTACCAGGGACACAGGGCCCTGCAATGACCTGGGTCTGGGGCAAGTCAAAGATAGAAGCCACAGCTGCTGCAGCTCAGAGGCCTAAGGACCAGTCTGGACACTGGGGGCTTTAACACGCTTTATGTGTGAGCCAACGCCAACAGCGTCCACAGCGGCACCTGTGTCTCACTTCTCCAGTAAGACTTCACCTCCAGTTCTAGTCAGACCTGGTCAGACTCAAGGACAGATGTGAAAAGTGAGAGCTGACCCCAGTTACAATGCATCCCAAAATCTCAAGCCAGGCTGAACATCATCTGTCAGAGGAAAGGATGGTGCCAGCCTCCCCTGGCACGGAAGGAGTGGCCCAGGCTCAGAGCCTGGGCCCGGGTGGCTGTGCCTGGGGGTCCCACAGAGTGATGAGCCGGTCAGCCTCCCTCCATCCGGACAGCAGGGCCCCGTGCGTGGTAGAGTAAAACGTCCGATGCGTGGCTTCCCCTGCAAATAGTATCTGGAGCTGCAAAGAAGGGCTGGAGTTAGCACGGGTGCCCGGGGTTGAGCTGTAAACCACACACCTTTCACTGCAGCAGGTGAGCATGTGGCTTTGTTCTTCACCTAACCCCACACCCTGATGTGGCCACAAGTGCAGGTGCTGTCATCCCAGAAAGCGCAACCACGAGGGATGCCTTGGACAGCAGGCACCCGGGAATTAACCATGACTACAACCAGACACTCAATGGGTTTCAGGGACAACATTGAAAGCATCACCCAAAAACCAAAGAGATGGAGGTGAAGAGGGGAAAAGACAAGAACATGTGAGGACCAGTCCAGAAGTCCACCATCCAAACAACAGAAATCCCAGAAAAAGAGCAGAGAAAAGATAATGCAAAAGAACTTCTCAGCTGTCTAGCAGGCCTCAGATGGTAGCCCCGGGGCGCCAGGCCAGGCATGAGACAAGTGAGCTCAGTGCATGGGGAGCCTAATGTTCTTCTAAGCTTCCTAAGACATTTGAAAATAGGACACGAGAAAGGACTCCGAATGGCTTTGGGACTTCCCAACAGCAACACTGGAAAATGTCTTCAAAACCCTGAGGGTATGACTCTCAAACTAGGGTTTTATGTGTAATGTGGGACTTTCACTGGGCTGTAAGTTCTTGGACTCCTCCCACAGGAGTCTGGGCAGGCATGTGGAGTGCCGCAGAGTGGGGCTTTCTGATTTCTGAGCTTGATTGCAGGAAGTGATGCTTCCCGCTCACTGGACCGCCTGCGACGGTGCCCTGGGCAGCCATGGCACTGAGGTCACCATGCTGTAAGGAAGCCCAAGCCACACAGAGAGGCCACAGCCAGGCGCTCCAGTCGACATCCCAGACAAGCTCACCTTCAAGAAATCCCATCCCAGGGCAGCCATTTGAGAGGAGCCTCAGATGACCCCACCCTGGCCGAGTCACCCCCAGTGGGTCAAGTCTTCCCGGCCAAGACCCCAGACACCACAGGGCAAAAACAAGCCATGCCAAGTGCCCACCTACAGAACCTGTCAGCTTAATTAAGTAGTTGTTTCCAAGACTGGGTTTGGGGGTTTGTTACATAGTGGAATGTCTGAAGTGTAAAGGGTAGAAAAAAAGGCATTTTCACACATGCAAACTTTCTCTAAAAATCAACCTTCCATCCATCCCTTTCTCAAGAAGCTACTGGAGGGCCGGCCGAGTGGTGCGTTGGTTAAGAGCAGGCCTGTCCCGGGGACATGGGCCCTGTACCAGGCCCCCAGTGCCTCCTCACCCAGCGGCCACATCATACCTGGGCCTTCTCTCTGTCCACAGGGAGGGGCTGAGCCAGCAGGTCAATGTCGTCCCCGGTGCTGCCCACGGCCACGTAGCTGTAGGAGCCCCTGGTATACGGGGCGCTGTGCCAGCGAGACCTCAGCATGCTCTTGGGTGCAGGGAGCTGTGGGTTTCCTGAGCCACAGAGATGTCGACGTTAGCTGGCATGCCTGCTGCATGTCTGCAGTGGGTCTTCCATTTTAAAGACTGAGCGGTTTAAAACGAAAGAAGCTATCTGGGAAGGAGTCATAAACAGAGCCTCTCCCTGTCTTATCTGCTTCGCTCCACTCGGAACACCCAGCAAAGTAGGACCCAACTGGCACCATCACGCTTGGCGGGCTGCCCCCCAATGCACCACCATGGGACGGCGTCACTGTGCCGCCTGAGCCTCAGCATCCTCATCTCGGAAGCTCTGATTAAGGACAGCTGCATTTATTTTGGTGGTAAATTTTAGAAAAAAGGAGTGGAAAGTGTCTGCAAAGCCATTTCAGTTCCTCAGATAAGTAACCCCACCAACACAAGGAAGGACTGTCCCTGAACGTTCAGAGGCCAACTCAGCTCTTCTCTGTTAGGTCCCTGCTTAGAGATTAGCCAGCAGGGGGCACAGGGCAGTGCCGCGGCCGCATGTGGTCTGTACCTGTCACCCTGCGAAGCACGTGGGTCAGAGACTGGAGCACTTCATCATCCGACAGTGTCTCCATGAACTCAGACTCAAGCCCAGCAATGAACCCGCAGAGGACGTGGGCAGGCCTGCGTGGGGAACACAGCAGTGAGATGGCCTGCGTCGGGCCCAGCCCTCCACCCGTCACCTGGGTCCCTTAGTGAGGACCCAGTGACTGTGCAGGGAGCCAACACCCACACAGGGTCCACCAGGGAGCTGTCCTCAGGTCAGTGTGGGCCACAGAACCCCAGGCGCTCTGCTGGGTCAGAACTCCTCAGAGCACTGCACGGGGCCTGCCGTGCCCCTCTGCCAACATCTGCACCATCGTGCAGGCCCAGCTGGACACGCTGCTGGCCCTTAGCAGGAGTGAGGCGGCGACACAGACAGCACTGGCAGACAGTGTCCTTCCCACCACACACGTGCGGGAAAAAACGCCAAGTTCACTGGAAAGTGTGCTCGATGAAGCAGTGCAAGTTACTGGACTCGGGAATGCTCCTCTTTCTAATACGCTGTGTGATGGAGCAGGGAGAGGCACGAAGCGTTCCTGTGGACGCCGGGCAGCAGCCTCTTGCCAACAGCCCAGGTGCGGTGGTTTGAGTTGCCAGCTGAACAAGCCACTTCTTTCATGGACACCGTGTCA